AAATTTAAAAGAAGGTCAAACTCCAAGGTCTAGGTCAAAAGGTCAAATTAAGTGGTACACAAAGAAAAGTCTTGTCACACGGAATACACACGTGAAATATGAATCATAGCCTCATTAAATTTAAAGTAAAGGACAAGGTTAAAGTTTTGCGGACAAACAGATGCAAACGGACAGACACGGCAAAAACTATATACCCCCAAAACTTCGTTGACGGGGGCATAATAAGAGGTGCAAACTGGCAATATATAATAAAGATTCTGTGATGGTCTCATCCTTTTCGAAGAACATCGAAACTTTGCTTTTTTTAGAGGTAATAAGATTTTTCAAACGTTAGACTTTTGAACTTGAACTTGTAAATAATATAATATAATATAAAATGTATATATATATATACAAATATTTTCCATTTAAGTGAAAAAAAAAATCTTATGCAAAAAAAAGATAGAATACTACAGTGGCTGGTATAGGACATGGTATGAGAATTTTTTTATTAATTCGTGGCCACGAAATAAAAATTCGTAACCACGAAATAAAAATTCGTGGCCACGAAATAAAAATTCGTTGCCACGAAATAAAATTTGTGGGAACGAAATAAAAATTCGTGGGAACGAAATAAAATTCGTGGGAACGAATTTTTATTTCATGGCCACGAAATAGTATTCGTGGGAACGAAATAAAATTCGTGGCCACGAAATAAAAATTCCTGGCCACGAAATAAAATTCGTGGCCACGAAATAAAATTCGTGGCCACGAAATAAAATTCGTGGCCACAAAAAAAAATTCGTGGGAACGAAATAAAATTCGTGGGAACGAATTTTTATTTCGTGGCCACGAAATAAAATTCTTGGGAACGAATTTTTATTTTGTGGCCACGAAATAAAATTCGTGGGAACGAAATAAAATTCGTGAGCACGAAATAAAGTTGTGCTATATTATGTCGTTTTAAGGTTCTTCTCTTTTATGTAATTTAAGAGGCCATGTCAGTAACCATTGAGTATTGTATATAAAGTGAGTGGAATGTGAAAAAAAATATTTTGCTTTAATATTTGGTTGCATGGAAGTATAGATGAATGTCCTTTCAAACATGAATATTTTGGGTCACATCTTCCTTGTTACCATAGCAACGGTGATTTTAATGCTTGAAAAGTGTGAAATTTGATTATTGATAACCCTGTCAATATTAATAACAGAATCAAACTATGTTTTTCTTAATTTCAATATATATGGGAGATTTAATTTTTCCCATGTTTATTTTAAAGCATTGGGGCCTACTTTGCTTTGTTTCTACCAAATGCTGTAAAATCAACATGATTTTTATAAATATTTTACACGAAAACGCAACCAAACTCTATCATAATCATACATGCAATAGAAACTAAGAGCTTTAAAGTTATAAATCCAATAATAAAAAATGGTAGTTGGGTACTCTATAGCAAATAATTTGATTTAGAATGTACCACAAATATGAAAACGCGTGAACGATTATCTCCCTTTTGTGGAACTCTCCTGTTGATAAAGAACAGAAAGTTGCTGTTGAAGCAGAAGTCGGAGAAGAAATACACCATGTAACGATGTTTAAAGCAGGTCTTGTGCGGTTACAGAGGACATGACAGCATCAAGAGTTTGTAGGTGATTGAAAAGTACTATTTATAGTCCGAAATATCTTACGTTTTCCTGTTTTTTTTAAGTATTTCTATATTTTACGTGCTAGGAAAACGCCATAACCGGCGCCTTTACGAGAACTGGGAATTCCAAGTAGACAGCTGGTAGAATCAGCATTCTCGGGTGTATTTTCGATACTTGCAATTACTTGTCAAACTCACAATTTATCAATAGTACAATGCCTCTAGTACTTACCAATATATTTTTTATGGTTTGTTTGTAAATATATGATCCATGATCCGATGGAAACATTTTCTCTGACTGTCGAGATTTGTTTTCATTTCGTGCGTTTACAAATTAAAAAAAATATACAAGTCCTGTATCGAAATGATGAGTGATTATTTTCTTTTCATTGATATTGTCAAGTACTAAAAGCATTGTGCCATTGATAAATTGTGACAACGGGGCCATCCTTAAAAAATTGTTTTTTTGCGGTAACGCGAGGCCAAAATAAAAAATACCTTTGTTTCCCCTAACGCGACCGACCCAATTAAATCGCACCGACTGAAAAGATTTTTTAAATAAGAAGATTCAATTATTTTTTTTTTTTATTGTTAACTAAGTTTCATAAAATATACAATTTCATCGAAATCAGTTTTTAGCAGAACGGCCGACATTGTTTTGTGATTTGTTGAAAAAAGTGGCGCCAAGATGTGATTACCATTGCTTAAAATTTAGACGTACTCATGCACATTTTTGCCATTAAGCTGTAAGGGATCTTTTTTGAGCCAGCATCCTTTGCGAGACTGGACATAAAGATTGTTTTCAACATTCCTTATTGGTATTTGGACCTGCGACTTAAAATTAGACACTTACTTCTTAACTCTAAATCAAAATGCTCTAGAAACACTGCAAATCTGATGGCCCTCAAAAAGTACATTGATTGTCTATAAGCACTCGGGGCTGATGGAAGGTTGGAAAAAAAAAATACTCGGATGTCCGGTCTTTGCGTATTTGAGAATGTTGTCTTTATCTATTCGATCTATATAAATGTACTCTGACGTGAGATATCTCACAAGTTCAACTAAATAACAGTTGTAAATTAATTAATCATGAATTTTCCTTTAACATGTTTAAACAGAATATGTTTGATACCTAGCATTTTGTTCACAAATCGCTTTCTTTTGTACTTTTCTTACTTATAAAGTTTTTTTTTCTATTAAATTTTAGAACGTATTTTCAAAGCTGCTGTCATAAAATAAAATTGTTTACCTACCTACCGACCCATTTGGAGAATTCAGGGTCGGGTTAGGGGAAACAAAGATATTTTTAATTCCGGCCCGACCGACTCACCAAAATCCACCCTACTGGATTTTTTTTATCGGTTCAAAAAAATTTTTTTTTTTTTACGTATCCATTTTCCATTTTTATCTGATTGATATTTTTGACTGTTTTTAAAAAAGAACTGATGTGTTCTGATATATGAGCAATAAAAGATTGAATTCATTAAGAATGCTTTAATTTTCTTGTTTGACTAGTAAGGTGAAATCTAAGACATAGTTAATACCTCTATGTAATCTAAATTTATTTCTGACTTTTTGTCTCAAAAAAAAAAATAAGCCTACCTACCTACCCACACCTAAAATGATGAGGCGCGTTACCGCAAAAAACAAAATTTTTAAGGATGGCCTGGCATTAGATAGAATGTTCTATCGTTAAAATGATATTGTCCTACGGATAACCGTTTGTTAATGTAGCAGAAAGAAACACGGGCGATAACTCGCATAGTGCATTTACTAGGAACAATCTAGAGAGTTCCGAATGTAAACATGGAAGGTAATTTGAATCGAGAGAAAAACGTTGAGAAAATTAATTGGATTTTCGTATTTATATGGATTATTTTTTGGGATAAAAGGCATAAGCAATCTCAAAAAGGTTTGTTTTGATTATTTTGGTAGTTATTCCCAGTGCAAATCATTTTATATTCTTCAAAATCGTTTTGGAGCGGATCCGCTCCGTTTTGCTACATTGCAAGTATATGGGACGTATTCTAACTGTGGTGAGGGCCTGTACCGAGACACAGTTAGATTATTCTAACTAGCCTGGCATTTAAGGGACAATATCCCTCTGCTCCAAATTTCACGACTTTTTTTTTTTTTTTTTTTTTTTTTTTAAACCAGACATTGATTTTCAGGAACAAGTATAGCATTAAATTCAAATGGAAAATAGTTTGAAGTATGAAGCGTTGCTTACTTTTTCAGAAATGAATAATATGTCAAATCATGATGTGAAGAAAATTTGGGATGATAAATAGAAAGATTTATTATTTTATATCTCACAATTAATTTAGAAATATGAGGTATATTTAAAAATAATATCTACTCTCATACCTATCTTAATTCCCATTAGAAAACATACTGAAGCGCTGCTTTTTAAATCACAATTACAAATTGTTTTATGTGCATGTAAAATAACACACATCCATAAACAAGAGTTATCATTCCATAATCCATTATTGCCCTTGAAAATTTTATATTTTTTAATGAAACAAAATATTAATTAAAGGTTAAAAGTTTGTAAACAGGTCTAAAATATTTTCAGGAGAATCATGATGATAATCAGTTGCAATGTGAACTAGCAAATAACCTTGAAGTACAAGCAGATCCAATTAATGTGGAACAAATAAAGGTTTGTATTGAAATTTTTACATGTACTGAATTATTATGCCGAAAGATCATGAACATATTTTCGTTTGTCCTTTCTGTCTGTTGTCAGCTTTAACCTTTACCATGACTTTGAACTGTGAGATAATATTTGGTATATATAATCCACTAATTAAGTTCTTTTAAATTACACCAACATCAGTAACCTTTAGATCTTGATCTTTTTGCTAAAACTAGCTTTTCTATATTTGTTGACGCTGGGGGCATACTGTTTCACAAACTTATTTTGCTTTAAATTACTTTTAGCATCAGCTTGTTTATTATAAATATCAGCAAATATATGCAGTAGGGCCGTGTAAATTTGTAAACAGATATGAAATACTTTCAGGAGAATCATGATGATGATAAGTTGCAATGTGAACTACCAAATTACCATGAAGTACAACCAGATTCAAAGCATATGGAACAAATAGAGGTTTGTACTGAATTTTTTACATGTACTGATTTGTTTAGAACTACTTTGAGCATCAGCTTGTTCGTAAGAGCCCAGCCTCAAAGAGTACCAGTAATCACTTTGTTCATCCATTTCTTTGTCGAGAGATAACTCAAATGCTATGACACTTCAAACTTGAAAGGATTGTGACTCAATAACTTAAATCCATTTGACCTATGAACTTCATATTTTAAACCCAGACAAGAAGCCTAAAATGGGCCCATATTGCTCACCTGGTCTTCTGTCAAAGGTTGTTAAAGACTGATATCATGAGGCACATTTGTGTCATCTAAGCTGTGCTTTTGAGGCAGGTATGAAATGCATTTCAGATAAGACAATTTCATTGAAGTCTACTGTGCATACTGTAACCTTAGCATTGAAGTTTGACATTGAGTACATTGTAAGGGTTGTAAGGGTCATGTCACACCACCTTATCATAAGGAGCATTGAATGCCAAGTATGAAGTTGTTCCATGAGGCATATAGAAATACAGACCTGAAAACTCCATCAAATTTTACCTTGACCTTGACATTGAAGGTGCGACTTTGGCTCAGGGCTGTGAAACACTGTCTCAGCATGAGTAACATTTGTGTCAAAATGAAATTGTTTTAAATGAAGTTGTTAGTTGGATTGGTTTTGTATCTTTCTTTTGTAGGTGGAATCAACTTCACTTCAGACGACAACTTTTCCAAACACCTTGTGAAAGTCATCTGAATGCCAGGATTCTCAAGAGCATGAATATAGTCCATTACAAAGAAGGAAGACCTTGATTATGTATCTTGATGTCATTGGTGAAAAGGCAGAGGTCTAACACTGACTGTTAAGAAAATGACTTGACAGCTGAAGGGAACATGAACAATTTGAATCAGATTTCTGATAGGGCTCTTAAAGCAGTGAACTAAAAACATTTTCTTACTAAGTTTAAGATTTTGATATCAAAGTTTTTGAAAGGGGGGTATAGGAATCACCCTGTTTGTTTGTCCATCTGTCTGTGGACAACACTTGGATTATACTGTTCTAGCTCTAGTTGGTTAAAATAGATAATATCTAAAATCAAATGTGTCATACTTCTTGTTTACTGTGCATAAATGTACTTTGAAGAACATACTGTATAAGTAGAATTTTTAGCGAGGATTAAATTTTGGCATTATTAGAGAGGGTGCTGACATTGCTAAAATTGAATATTTCTAAAAATTAATGTCTTATTATTTGTAATAGCTTCTTTAGTTAACATTTTAAAATCGCTAAAATTACTTCTGGCTAAAAATAAAATACCAGACTTTGGTAGAAATCGCTAAATTTGCATCTCGCTAAAATTTCCACTTATACGATATATTATTTCTAGCAAAATATTTCTGTAGAATATTTGACTGTACACTTCAGAAAAAATTCAGTCTCAGTATCAGGTACAAGATATGCTGTAATGGTGCCTAGTTGTGTCACCTGCATAGCAAGGGGACTTTTAGGGATCACTTCTCCATTGTCTGTCAGTCTGACTAGCTGACCATCAGTCTATCTGTCTGTCACAATTTGATATGTCATTCCTGAGACAAACATTTTCAATGGAAAACTCTTGTTTTATGTTCATATCTGTGATACTTTCAGTGAGCATTGATATTTGACCAGTAGATTGGTCTTTGATAGAAAAATAAGATAAAACTTGAAATATAAAGTTGCTGTAAACTACATTTACACAAGCCTTGCTGATGTTAAGGTTTATTTTCATTTGAAGAAGTATAAGGTCGTCTTGTGTTTAACAGACACAACTTCTCATTATACCCCCTGTAAACGAAGTTTGGGGGGGATGAATATAGGAATCAGCTTGTCTGTCTGTCTGTCTATCCATTTGTCCATCTGTCTAGCTGTGCAAACATATACGGTCCATATCTTTCTTACGGAGAAACATTAGAATCTAGTACTCCATACAAAGATTGCTCATGACCTAAGAGTGTGTCATGACCTTGACTCAAGGTCATTTGGGGAAGTTCAAGGTCACTGGAAGAAAAATTTCATTATTTGTGTCCGTTCCATATGTTTCTTATGGATTAACTTGGTAAGTTCCCATTTTACAAAAAGATTCCCTGTGACCTAAGGGTGTAAAACAGGAATTTGTCTTGAGGATGTGTCATGACCTTGACCCAAGGTTCTTTGTGTCAGTTTAATGTCACTGAAAGGAAAAACTTCATAATTTGTGCTTGTCCATATCATTCATATTGATAAACTTGGATACTTTCTTGTTTACACAAAGATCACTTATGACATAAGGGTGTAATGACTTTGACCCAAGGTCAATTGTCCAAGTTCAAGTGCACAGACAGTAAAAATAATATAATTCATGTCTGGTCCATATCTTTCTTAAGGATAAACTTGGAAGGTTCCCACTTTACACAAATATTGCTTTGACCTGAGAACTTGACATGACTTTAAACCAAGGTCATTAATGCAAGTTCAAGGTCACTGACCAAAAAAATAATTCATGTGTGATCCATACATTCAGTCTATTTTTTTTAGGCTGTACCTTCGTTTCAATTACATGTATAAAAAAAATTAATGAGCAATTACAATGATTTAGCTTTTCTCTCTTCTCTTAGATCCATAAAATATTCATGATTAAGCCCTTCTAAAAAACCGAGCGGGGGGGTGGGGTGTTATTTTGTACCATTTGGACAGTTCTAGTTGTTTTTAGGTTTATAACTTGAATAATAAACATGGTACAGAAATGTAAATTAGCCAGAAGACAGAGCATTGGCGTCGTTTTGTGTTGAACATTGCATCATTTTGACACATAATTTCAGCTTTTGTTATGTCATATATGGTCAAGTTTTTGCGTATTTGGTCCACATTCTGACTATATTGTATAACTAATAGACATTGTAGAGCAATGGTACTTATTAATACTTATATGATGGGGTAAGTACAACAGGGTTGACAGTTGATCAGGATGCCATGACCCAAATATTCCACTTGACAGGCTTTAATTTCCTGGGTGTATGTTTCATGTTTTGCAGATCCTAGTCAAGTTGGTTGCTAGGGCATAAATTCCGTTGCTATGGAGATTTCTTTTCCTATTATTTTGTAAAAAAAGTCGTACATTTTATGGAAATTTTTCTAAAGTACTATATTTCTATAGATATGGCATCTAAGTGTTAAATATCTGTTGTAATATTAGAAAAAATTGCCAAAAATTGCGAAAATCCATTGAAATTGTTTTGAAAAAAATGCAAATTTTGATTTCTAAAAAAAAAAATTTGGACATCCGACTACCAATTTTTATTTTATTATTTCATAGTATTGGGATATATCTTTAACTTTGTATGACATACAATATCTACGGCTGTTGCGTTTTTAAGTAATCAACTTTTGAAAAACTTAATTTTCCACGGATATTCCCATCATGAAAATCTTGTCATTTTTCGGTTGCCATAGCAACCATATCAAAATTTTTAAAAATACTTACAGACATAAAAATATTTTCTTCTGATGCATCTTTCATTAATTCAGTATAAGAAAACAAATTTAGACCTTCCAATTGTTCCCCCTCTGCATTTAAATATGTCTAAATATGTATTATTTTACAATGTTTCGTTGATAATTTACTATGCAAATCACATTTGTTGCCATGGAAACCAATGATGATGAATAAATTTGTAAAATTTGTCTCAAATGTGTTTTTTGTTGTTGTTCAAATGTTTTAGGGTGGTTTTTGCCCAATTCAAAATTTTTGACTTTCCATGTAAATCTCAATGGTTACTGACACGGCCTCTTAAGATGAACGGACTTATTATTATCATTCAATTGGACTGAGCCAAATGGAGTTGTGTTTAAAATTGTTATGGGTATTAAATAATATGCCTGAATCATCATTAATTATTGAAATTTTTGCCGGTTAATTGCATGAAGAGCTGATATATGAACGAATAAATAGTATCAATACTGATCTCACTAGTTCATCGCATTTTTTCTTTAATAATTTCATGTACCTTTATTAAAGAGCACACACTTTCATTTGTATTAATTAGTTGAGTTTTATGTGAAAACAATCATGACAATATCTGAATATTGTTTTCATTTTTAAGATGTCACGTTCCCGATAATAGGGGCGTACTCTGATTGTTGAATAAATAAACATTGAGTGATTGACAAAAAAGTCTTGACGTACAATTACACGCTACATGTATTTATTTGAAAAATCTAGCAATAAATGTTTGAAATACATTGAAAAATGCATTGGACATAAGCTTAGCTATTGTAAATTACATATATTCTCGGCTTTTTGTCTGGAGATCCGCGCGCGCTTCTATGAACACATTGGTGTCTTAATTACAAACCTGATCTGTTAATACACTAGATTCTTAATCTTTTATTTCGTGGCCACGAATTTTATTTCGTGGCCACTAATTTTATTTCGTTCCCACGAATTTTATTTCGTGGCCACGAATTTTATTTCGTTCCCACGAATTTTATTTCGTGGCCACGAATTTTTATTCCGTGGCCATGAATTTTATTTCGTTCCCCGAATTTTATTTCGTGGCCACGAATTAATAAAAAAAATTCTCATACCATGTCCTATACCAGCCACCGTAGAATACAAGTAAAAATGATGTAAACTTTTAAATGATATTTAATATAATATTTATACGTAAGCAAATGTTTCCCACTGAAGTGAAAAAAATCTTATGCATAAAAGAAAAAGAAAATTCTAGTAATCTTATTGTTTCTGTAGCCTTTCCACCTTTTAAAGGTCATTTGGGTTGAAGAAATTCGAAAAAAAAATTAAAATGCACCCAGCCGGTATCGAACTCACAACTCTTTGCTTGTAAGGCATACGTTCTAAACACTACGTCAAGAGTTCCAACTTCCTGGTTGAACAAGACAGTAATCCGTACTTAATAGTTTTGAGAAATGCGATTGGGGTATAATAAAATTGCAGATTTTCTGTAAAAAAACAAATTATTTCGATTGGTTTACACTCGAGTTAATAATTTAAAGCCTAGGATACAATAGAACAGCCGTGTCTATGCTTTGTTTACAAATTTAGGAAAAATGTCGCGTCCAGTTCGACATATTATGCTTAAGTTATAGGTGACATCAGATTAGCATACGTCTATAATAACTGCCCTTTTCCCGTTTCACAATGTACAATGATGAAATACATAAAATTTCAGGTTAGCTAACTGGACCCTTCCAGCCCCTAGGACCCTACAGAAATCTATCAGGGGATACCCCCTAAGGCTCCTGACCCATCCCCAGTGTTAGTTTGTTCAGGAGGCCGACAATAAATAAAATATGAATGCTGGAAATATGCCCCACACACTTGGCACCACCAAGTGGTGCCACTACAGCCCGATTCTGAACGTGGGAAATGATAGCCCTAGGGCCCCTCTACCTTGCGCCAATAATCATTTAATGAACACTTCAAGGATAAGGCGTATAATGACTGCCCTTTTCCCGTTTCACAATGTACAATGATGAAAAACATCAAAGTTCAGGTTAGCTAACTGGACCCTTCCAGCCCCTAGGACCCTACAGAAATCTATCAGGGGATATCCCCTAAGGCCCCTAACCCATCCCTAGTGTTCGTTTGTTGAGGAGGCCGACAGTGAATAAAATATGAATGCTGGAAATATGCCCCACGCACTTGGCACCACCAAGTGGTGCAACTACAGCCCCATTCTGAAAGTGGGAAAGTGGGAAATGATAGTCCTAGGGCCCTTCTACCTTGATCCATTACTTATTTCGTGAACACTTCAAAGATAAGGCTTATAATAGCTGATCTTTAATGGCGATTTGGGGATATAATGCAAAACAGACAAAGTTCAGAGTATATAACTGGCCTTTTCCCGTCCGAGGGACCTTTTGAAACGATTCTTCCTATTACCCTTCACTCTTTCCAAGTGAAAAATAGTTCAAGTGGCCAATAATTGATGACGAATGATTGCTTGAAATATGACCTATGAACTTGGCACCACCTGATATCTGATATCTGATATCTTGCCCTAGTAATGTTGATCGCTTTATTAATCATGGGTATAATACTTGCCTGTAATATCAAAAATGCTTTTGGAACCACTTAGTGGCACCACCACCACTTATTACTGATAGTGGTAATTTAAAGTCTTATAGATTCATTAAGTTTTCCCAGTAATAATGTTCGAAACAAAGTCAACCTAGTTTACACTTGTGCCATATTTCGGTTTACAGTCGTTATATTAATAGCTTATTGGCCCTGTCATAATCTCAAGGTCCCTGAAGGAGTTGAAAAGGGATTCTTCCTGGAGGAGTTAATCATTTCCTAGTGCTTGTTTGTTCAATTGGATAAAGATTATAAAGTAATTTATTTCTTATTTTTCTGTTTTAAAAAAGAATATTTTTTTTGTTCAGGTGAGCCTTACTACCTCTGAGTATCTGATTAATCAGGTAATTAATTGTTGCATTAATTGTCTAATCATTAACCATTAATTATCTAAAATAACGTATTAAAAACAGTCCTGTGTCTAAGTACTCTCAGTTCTTTGATGAATTTCCTTATTGGCTGCTAGCTTCTATGCGCTTAGAAGCTGCTGTTATTGGCCGCTAGATTCAGCCTGGTGCTGTCATGAGACAGTAATTCCCGCACTAAGGTGTTTGCCTCTAAACATACACTCCTACATATATTGGGCTTTAATTCCAAGTAAAAAGTCCAAATAATTCTGTAATTTACACTGAACATATATTCGTCAAATTGAGTATGAAATGCTCAGACCCTGCTGTGACCATACCTATATAACTCAGATCCTCATTACAAGTTTGAATTTAATTTATGATTTTAATTAGATTTTGAGAAATGATTTTCTCAGAATAGGATCTTTTTAAATTTACTAATCCCCCCCTCCCGCCCCGACATCAGAAAAACATGGCACGTACGTGTTATTTTTTGTTTTGTTATGTTTTTTTGAATAGGCTAGATGGATAATTTTGTTAAACATCGTTTGTTATTTGTTCTTGTACTATACATGTTTACATGTACATGTAAACACCTTTTTGGAAAATGTCTTAATCACAATGTGTTGCGTCACCCATTATCATATTTTTAGTTAAGCACCACTCGGCACAATTTGGCCGATTCCTACTTCATCTGATAAGGCGACGGAATCTACCAAGGTCTGCCGAATGGGATAGAGCACATGCTACAGTCTGGTGTGAATGAAATTAATTCGTTTTGTGTTTAAATTGGAATAAATTTCATGAGGTTGACAGCTAGGACCTTTGACAGATGGTTAGATGATTAGGCTTCTGTGCAAAATGTAGGATGGGTTCAGGGATGACCGGGCTTTTTGCATAAATACGTCATTTTTTAACGCCCATTTGACCCCCCAAGGCAAAATCAAAATTCTAAAACCTTACTGT